TGCCGGCCAGTGTTGGGAAAAATCGTAATCATAACTACCATTACGTTTATAATCATGAAAATTTTAAGGTGTGATTACGATTACGCCCAACACTGATGCCGGGTTTGCGCGTGTAGACTGAAGACTAAGTAGCAAGACTAAGGCAGGCAGACAGAGCGGACTTACGGGGGAACGTTAGTCACATGCCGCAACCCAACGAAAATTGGCCGTTCTGCGCACCCCCCCCCCCCCCGTGGCACCAAGTGTGACTAACGTTTCCCCGAAGTCCGCCCTGTCTGCCAGGCTTAGTCTTCAGTCTACATGCGCAAACCCAGCATGCTCTCTTAGCGAACAGGGTATAAAATGGTGCATGTACTTTTTGGCCTGGCTTTGATACCGGCACATCAAAGCCGATTAGGCCCTTATTTTGGTCGCCGGGGTTCCCACTCTAGCCGCATCTTCTCCGACTTCGATACCTCCTACCACTCTACCTCTAGTCCGCCAAATGCTTTTAATCTCCAGTTCTCCGGTTTTATCGGTCCAACCACCACTCCTTATGTCCTGGGTACTTGACCCTTTAGCTCATCCGTCGTCACTCTCCTCCGGCCGCCTCTTGTTGGCGCATTGAGAGGTGGCGCAGACACTCTTGTGGCGACCTCCTATCAACCTCGCTCCATTCCACAAGTTGCTCATGAACCTTACTCGCATGTCACTGGCCGGGCCAGTGGGAAAAGTCGGCTACATTTCAGCTACCGACTACCGTTTGACAGTGTTGGGCAAATGTAATCTGTTTAATTATTACGATTAATAATAGTAATCAGTAATCATCGTGTTAGATTAATACAATCATATAAATGTAATCATGATTACATTTATGATTACATTAATCTTTCAAATGTGATCATGAAATGATTAATGATTATATTTTTTTAACCGCCATAGGTTTTATGTATTACATAATACATATATAAAAAAAAATATATGGGATGTCTAAGACGATTTGACCTTTGCAATATCATCTAGACAATTATTATTATTTTGTAATAAGCCTGGGGCGGTTAAACAATTTTTTTTTATAATGTTTTCATGATTACAATTGAAAATATAATCATGATTACTGATTACTTTTACAAAATGATAAAATGATTAATGATTAATTTAATCATGATTACAATGTTGTAATCGATTACGTAATCCAATAATAAATTAATCGGTTACGCCCAACACTGCCGTTTGAAGGGCATTACTGCCAATATCATACTACAATATACATGTATTCTTTTTTTTGTCCCTTTAAGCATTTTTGTATTGTCGTACCTATTGCACCACACCTTCAGTTTTGCGCAGGCGAACCCTCCCACTTCTGATGTGATGTGGTGTAAATAGATGAATAAAAGCCATTTGAATACAAACTCCACCCCATTGAATTGTAATAACTTCAAAGTTAACATTATAATTTTTTTTTTATAAAAATTGTTATAATATCTAATGTAAAAAAAAATATTATGTAAAACCATCTGGTTAAAATCATATTATTCTTGATAATGTGTGTATAATAATATACAATAACCGTAATGTTAATAAATACAGTACTAATTGCTAAACAAAAAAAAATGTTTTTTATTTAACTAAAATACATTGATAATAATATACAAGGTAATGCAATGTTTAAAACCAATTGCGTAATGTAAACATTTTATAAAAAGTACAGTGTTGTTTAGGGCTTAAATTCATGTGAAATAAACACGTTGGGTATCCATCATCAGAGTGTAATTGATCTATGCGAGGACAAACAATATCTTCAAGGTTAATTATGTTAATATGTGATAAACTCATGTAAAATATCTATTTTTCTGTAGTCCATATATGGTTGTAAATGTTAAAGCATTTAAAATTATTGATAGTTCTTCCGCTTCATAATGAGGTGCCATTGAGTGAAGGTGTTTGGTTAGCCATTTGTTAACATTTTGTGTTTTAATGTTTAAAGATTGTGTAACATACATACCTACTTTTATATATATATTATATATATGTATATATATATATATAAATAAAAAATAAAAAAAGTACCAACCAACCAAGTTCATACTTACATTGGGTTCATTCGGTTTTTATCGAGAGCTCAGACAACACATCTGTCCTTTTTTTCTTTTTGTACTTTTCGTTGGTTAAAAATGGAATACGAAGTTTTCGACGGATTTCGTAAAAATAGTAAGCTACATCATAGTAATGATGGCTTTTTTTACCGCGTAAAGAAAGTGAGGCTATCGTCTACCTCACTAAGTTGTATAAAACCCAACTGCACTGCGAGAGGTATGATTTATTGCTATATATTATTTTAGAAAATTAATCTTTTTTCTCAATATGAATTATTTGTAACCCGATTGTAAATGGAAAACTGAAGCAATTAGTAGTTAGACGTAATCGTACTTATTTTACGAATACACAATAAAGCAGTGTACCATTTAAGTATAACTCAACAGAAGATTTTTTTTAATTAGGTAATACTCCACTTAATTAGAAAAATATCTTTTAAAAGGCTTGAAATAAAAACCGTTTTATTTGATTTTTTTTTAGAAAATAACACTATTTTTCAAAGAAAAAAGGCCAGCACCATGAGTTGCCCTAGTACACAATTTATAGATTTTAATATGATAATTTACAAAAATTGATCAATGGGTTAACTATCATGAATATTTTGTGGCAATTAGTATTTATATTCATAATAATTTTTTATAATCCGATTTGGTATAAAACATAACAATGATTAAAGGGATTGAAAGCGGACGGTTTTTAAGGGGTTTTATAAAAGGCAATATTTAAGAAAAAAGCAACTTTTCGAACATTTTATTTAGTTACAGGTTACTTTGTAAAAGCTAGAGGCATCATTTTTAACTTTTACAATTTATTCTCCGAGTAAATCTCATTTTGTACATACAAGAAATTAATTAAGGGAATTGCATACGGTCGGTTTTAAAGGAATTTTGTATAGGCAATATTTAGGAAAAATGGTTTTAATAAATTTTTACCATGTCAATTAATTTACCGGTTAATTTGTATAAGCTTCATGGTGTTATTTTTAATTTAAATCATTTTATCTATGAGTAAAGCCATTTTAGTTAATATAGTATACATATTTTGTTCCATCGCACAGGCTGAACCAGTGATCCGATAATTTATCTGAAAATATATTTGAATTTGCCATGAAGTTTACTTCATCGGTCAGGACACTTTTTTAAAATCTTATTCCTACTATGTACAAAACCCGTTTGAATATTATAAAAAATTTCAAATTTTAAAAGGGTAAAGGTAAAGGGTTTAAATTAAAAACCGAAAGTGTGCCCTGAACGATCCTAAGTAAACTTCATGACGAATTCAAATCTGTTTTTAGATTGTTTATCGGATCACCGTGTTGGCTTATGCAATTGAATAAAAATGATGTTTTGACTGAAAAAATTGACCGCATGTAATCCCCCTTAAGACCTAAAATCTTGACAAAACTATGCCTACTTAATATGATTGAATTTTAATTCTGTATAAATATTTGGGCTCATGAGCTTTTTCCCTAGGTTACCGTGGAAGTCGGATTAATAAAACAATATAAAGGATACTAAAAACTTAAGAAATTAAAATAGGATTTAAACACAATTTTAATTGAAATATAAAATTATTTACACAATAACCTTGAAAAGAGGACGATTAACTTGACATTTTTTATATAAAATTCAAATTGGACATTCTACGTAGGCGTAATTTTGCCAGGATACTAGGTCTAAAACTTCGAAAAAACCAGTCCGCTTTTAATCCTCTTAAGGCTGAAAACAGTTTATAACATTAAACTCTTCTTAACACAATATTGTAATTTTTTTTATTATATAAAGGACTTATCAGGAATGATAGATTTGAGGTGATCGGACTTCATAATCATGATCCTGATATGGAATATTTGTCCGCTGTACGTGTAAAAAGCCAAATTCTTCATCGTTGTTCAACAGAATTGACCAGTCTTAAAGTCATTTATGACGAAGAAATAACACAGTTATACCTACCTTTAATAATAATTTAAAAATTAATATCAATGACGGCATTATTTATTACATTATTTAAACTGAGCTGATTAATTGTATTTAAAACTTGATGCCTCACAAACACAGGCGGAGGCAACTGTGGCAGCTGAGCTGCCTCACTTAAACCTATTTTATTGCATAGTGATCTGTGATCGCTTGGGTTATCCATAAGTTATTTACATAATATATATTTGTAATTAAAAAATCTAGAAAGCGTAAAAAATTGTTTAACCTAAATAGGCGTAAATAATTGCGTAGTTAATTATAATTTAAGTATATGTCGAATCAGTAAATTGATAAAATAGGTGTACGTCTTAGTACACTTTTGAAAACTAAGTCATGCTGTAAACTACGTTCATTTAAAAATGTCCGTATATTCCTCTTAATTTAATAGAAGTAGGTTAATTTAAGCATGTTGTAAGAGTTTTAGACTACCATTATTAATTATTTACAAACTACTAAAAAGACAAGGTTTTTTTAACACGCTTATATTAGCTTCACTTGTATGTATGTATGTTTGTATGTAACTATGTAACTAAAAGAGATAGGCAACCGAACGTACATGTGTGTATTCATTGTTGCACTGGGCCGATGTCACTACATTTAAAAATAACATTATATATTGCCTCCCCTGTAATTGAAGCCCGCAAACGCTTGTGGTCATTAAAATGCATATTAAAAAGTTATTTTATACATCTTATTAGTATATTTTCATAGAACACTAAATAACTGTATACCTATAAACGTATTTCGTAAGCCTTTCTGTTCAATAATAATAAAACAAAATTTGTTTTATTATTATTGAACAGAAGGTATTTAATACTTAATGAAAGTCCTACCGTTTTTAAATATAAGAACACTTAATATTAAAATTAAGTTCTCAAATCAATCAGCTCAGCATAAGCATAATTATTTAGTAGTTCAAGACTTACATATTCTAAACTTAGATTAAACCATGTTAACACTCAATTGACGTACACCAGCTTCTTGCGAACTATGGAACGGGCCAGGGCCGAGACTCAGCCATCGATACCCCAGACTCTCTTGGGATATGCGGGCAATTTGTCCGACCCGAGGTACCGTCATCTATTTTTAACGTCTAGCAACGAGGAGTTGTATAGGGGCTACATAGATGGAGGTGTAGAAGCTGGCGAAGCAGTGGTTTTCATTTCGCCTGCAATGATGAAGTAATCATTTAATTAACAATGAAAAAATATGTGTTACAACGAAAACATTGCCTTTGATCCCAAAAACATATTTCTTAAGTATTTAAAAAAAATATATAACTTATTTTAAAGAAAAACGATTAAAATTTGTATAAAATAATTTCTTTCAATTAACTATTATGAATTATCTCCAACAAAAACCTAACAGAGAAAATTGGCCAAGTTCCAAGACTAAATATCAAAGTAGTGATATTTACATTTCAAAAGCTTATCTTAGGAGGAATCAGAGACATGTGAGTTAGAAAAACTGGGTGAATTGGTTCGTTTAAAGATAAACTGGCATTACTGAAACTTGGCCTAGCACACTACTGTGCGCTCAGATAGCTGCTTGTAATATTTTGTGGACAAGTACAGCAGCATATTTAATATCAGTCCAATAGCAAATAGTTTTAATACCAATCTTCACAAATTAGAATATATAATTGCTTACCTAGATGATTTTTTTTTATAGACAATATTATAGCTTAAGCCTCAAACTGAACAAGTTTTAATTATTATGGCCATTTACATGGATCAGGTAATAGAAAATATATAATAAATTTAAAAAACGATTTTTATGAGTTTACGATTAGCATTTTTATTTATACGTTTACTTAGGCTTTTCCGGTTGCATTTGTGTTGATGACAAGGAAGACCGAGATCGCGTACCGGTGCGTGCTTGAATACGTAAGGGATCTTATTCCAGGCGGTATTCAAGCAGCAAACATCATTACTGACTATGAAACCGCATTAACCAATGCACTGAGGAATACTCTGCCAGCTGCCAACCTGCAGCGCTGTTGGTTCCACATGGTGCAAGTATGAAAAATGTTTTTAATAATTCTCTCATCATTTCCGGTGCTATAAAATATAGCATCGTGTGTTGCCATTTAAAAATGTTTATGGTAATTTATAGGCACTTTAGAAAAATGGTAAAGAGTTTTGCATGCAGCGACGTGAATATCGTAACGACTTGGTATTTCATAACATGTTCCGCATGTCGAAGGCTCTGGCCCTTTTACCAGTCGAGCACATAGCCGAGGGTTTTAACCTGATCAAAGAAGAGAGTAGTCACGCGGAAAACGAACAAATAGCTCGTCGATATATTAATTACTTCGAGAACCAGTGGATGAACCGTAAGTGTTTAGTACTGCAAACCTTAGAAAACAGTTTTTCAAATCACTTTGTATTATTATGGATATAATAATACAAAGTGAAATTTACCTAAATTAATAAGATTCATAATTATTGTACAGAAGCCTCCCCCCTCCCCCAGTTGTAATACTAACAAAAGAAAAAAACAATTTGATTTTGTTTGATTTTCTCTCAATACTAACATAAAAGTGAAATGCGTACATCTATATGAAATAAAGATGCTTGATAATAATAAATAGTTAATTATTACAAACAATACCTAATATATTCTCAAAAATGAGAAAATAGTTATTTAAAAAATAATTAATTTACCTTTGTACATAGTGGAGAGGAAATGGCAGAGTGGGTAAGGCATTAGTGTGTTTGACACTCACTGTTACCGGACAAAAAATCGTCTGATTAAAAGAAGCCGCCATCTCTCTGGCAATCACAGCTATAAACTTTTTAAAACGCTCTCGACTCCAAAATACTGAATTTATTTTTATGTATATGAAATGGTTAAAAAAAACTAAGCAAAAAAATTTAAGATACATGAAAAACTAATTAAGCTAAAATCATTATATATATTACATAGTTACATTTTAAAAATCATAGGGTTTAAAATGTCATTTTAATTATTACACGGTGTATTTTTAAAATACATGAAAATAAGTGCCAAAACTTACAAATTAATTGTTTCTTCTTAGTTCTGAGTGTAGTAGATATATAACAGTGAATAAGTTTATATTAAGCATCTGACTTGAAAATTACAATAGTACTTACTGAACATCAGTACATCGAACAATGAACAATGACCGATGACGTTGTCGAAATTTGAACATTATGTAACCGTTACAGTGTTACCAGAATTACCGCACTTATAATAAAATTATTGTGCGCACCTTTGTACACAAGTCTCATCTTTACTACTGCAGTGATATAAAAACACGGTATTTTTATTATTTGTACTACGCACTACATTATGATGGATGTTTATTATACTTTGATCGAACTTCGTAAAATAGTTAATATCATTTTATTGAAATCAAATCATAGGCGTCATTACGGGGTAGCAAGGGGTAGCAATCGCTACCCCATCAATTTTATTGGGGTTGCAAAGCTACTCTACGAGTAATTTGTAAAAAAATACAATTTTATTAATTTTTTTCAGATTTTGACCACAAAAAAAATAATATGATTAGTATAATAATTATAGTATCATCGGCTATCTACTATATTGAATTTGAACGTAGGCATAAACTATAAAGATAACTCATAATTAATGAAGTTTTAGCGAAACTACATATTTATTTTTCCCAGGAAACGGTTTATCGTTTAAGATCGGGGACGGTACGAAGTATAGCTATAAGCACAGACCACAGTATAATATTATTTTGTTATCATTATACTGTTGTTGTAATGAACTACGAATTACATAAATCTTTATCTTTATCTGATACTCGGTGGAATTGCCGAATAGAAGCTATTAAAGCAGTACTTGAAAAATTATCAGCGTTATTGCATTCACTTCATGAAATTGGAGAAAATGACACTTTTGCTGGACCTGATGCTAGTTCATTACTTAAATTAATCGAAACCTTTGATTTTATTTTTTGCTTAAATTTACAAAAATTTGTGTTGAATGAAACTAATATTTTATCAAAATACCTTCAATCTCCATCAATTAATTATTCATCGGTACATTTGATGGCACAGCAAACAATTAATACGTTTAAAGACAGTCGATCTAATGATAAGTTCAATAGTATATGAATAGAAACCCAAATTATTGTTGATAAATATGATTTAGAAGAAGCAAAATTACCTAGAGAGAGAAAAATTCCAATGAAATTAGGTGGAGGAAAGTCCAACAAAATGCATTAAACATAAAAGATCATTATTTAATTAATGTTTATTATGTAGTTTTGGATATAATTGTTGCCGATATAGAAGAAAGATTTAAAGAAAACAATTAAGCTCTTTTAAATGCTATGAATGATATATTAACTAGTGATTTACCAGATGTGGCTTCATATAAGTTAGTATGTAACACGTATGATATTAATATTTCTGAACTACAGAGTGAAGTTAATATATTTAATCGGATGTTTAAAACACAAAATGTGAAAGAAAATTTACTCGACAGTCGGATATCATATATTT